TAATAGAGAGTAACTGCTAATGGGCACAGAGTTCTTTTTTGGCTTGATAAAAATGTCCCAGAATTAGACAGTGGTGATAGTTGTACCACCTTGCAAATATACTAAAAAGCACTGAATTACATATTCTACAAGGATAAATTTTATGTTATGTGAGTTTTATTTATTGCCAAAAGGGAATGCAAAGAATAAAAAAAGGAGAAAAGGATGTGGGACATATATACTATTGCTTGCATGTACGTAGAATAATTTTGCTAGGACACGCAAGTAATACTTATTACTTCTGGGGAGGTCAACTGGTGGATGGAGGACAAGAGGACAGGAATGGGAAAGAGGTTTTCACTGTCACACACTTCTGTTCCTTTTGAATTTTGTATCATATAAATGTAATATCTATTTTTATTTTGTTATTTATTTTTAAATTTCAGCATATTATGGGGGTATAAATGTTTAGGTTGCATATATTGCCTTTGCCCCACCTGAGTCAGAGCTTCAAGCATGTCCATCCCCCAGATGATACACACCACACCCATTATACATACTCATCCCCTCCTCCCCCTCCATCTACCCAACACTTGATGAATGTTATTACTATATGTGCACTTAAGTGTTGGTCAGTTAATACCAATTTCATGGTGAGTACATGTGGTGTTTGTTTTTCCATTCTTGGGATACTTCACTTAGTAGAATGGGCTCCAGCTCTATCCAGGATACTACAAGAGGTGCTATAACATCATTGTTTTTTGTGGCTGAGTAGAACTCCATGGTATACATATAACACATTTTATTAATCTACTCAAGTATTGATGGGCACTTGGGTTGTTTCCACATCTTTGCAATTGTGAATTGTGCTACTATACACATTCTAGTGCAGATGTCTTTTTTATAGAACATCTTTTGTTCTTTTGGGTAGATGCCAGTAATGGGATTGCTGGATCAAATGGTAGTTCTACTTGTAGCTCTTTGAGGTACCTCCATATTACTTTCCACAGAGGTTGTACTAGTTTGCAGTCCCACAAGCAGTGTATGAGCGTCCTATCTCTCCACATCCACACCCACATTTATTGTTTTGGGACTTTTTGATAAAGGCCATTTTACTGATGATAAGTGACATCTCATTGTTGTTTTGATTTGCAATTCCCTGATGATTAGAGATGTTGAGCATTTTTTCATATATTTTTTGGCCATTAGTCCTATCTTCTTTTGGTAAGTTTTGGTTCATGTCCTTTGCCTACTTTTTGATAGGGTTGTTTGATTTTTTTTCTTGCTGATTTTCTTGAGTTCTATATAGATTCTAGTTATCAGCCCTTGATCAGATGTGTAACATGCGAATATTTTCGCCCATTCTGTAGCTTGTCTGTTTGCTCTTTTGATAGTTTCCTTGGCTATGCAGAAGCTTTTTAATTTGATCAGGTTCCATTTATTTATCTTTGTTCTTGCTGTGATTGCCTTTGGGGTCTTCTTCATAAATTATTTGCCTAGGCCAATGTCTAGAAGAGTTTTTCCAACATTTTCTACTAGAATTCTTATGGTTTCATGCTGTAGGTTTAAGTCTGTTATCCACTGTGAGTTGATTTTTGTGAGAGGTGAAAGGTGCAGATCCTGTTTCAGTCTTCTACATGTGGCTATCCAATTTTCCCAGCACCATTTATTGAATAAAGATTCTTTTCCCCAGTGTATGTTTTTGTCTGCTTTGCTGAAGATTAGATGGCTATATTAAGATGGTTTTATATCTGGGTTCTCAGTTCTGTTCCATGGGTCTATGTCTCTGTTCTTGTGCCAGTACCATGTTGTTTTAGTTACTATAGCCTTGTAGTATAGCTTGAAGTCTGGTAAATTGATGCCTCCCAATTTGTTCTTTTTGCTTAAGATTGCTTTTGCTATATGGAGTCTTCTCTGGTTTCATATGAAGTGTACAGTTATTTTCTCTAGATTTGTGAAAAATGATGTTGGTATTTTAATAGGGATTGCATTGAATCTGTAGATCACTTTGGGTAGTATAGACATTTTAACAATGTTGAATCTGCCAACCCATGAGCGTGGTATGGTTTTCCACCTGTTTACATCCTCTGCTATTTCCTTCCTCAGTGTTCCGTAGTTCTCCCTGGAGAGGTCTTTTACCTCCTTAGTTAAATATATTCCTAGGTATTCCTTTGTTGCTATTGTGAAGGGTATTGAGTCTTTGATTTGGTTCTTTGTGGGGCGCGGTGTCAACGCCATTACAAGATGGCGCCTGTTTCCGGCTTTGCCTAGAGCAGTAAACAAGTTCAGCGCACGCGCAATTGTCGGTTACCCTGTGGCGCAAGCATGCCAGGCATGACAATGAATTGGTATCCGTACTATTGGACCAATGCTTTGGCGGGTCTCGACAGCTGAGCGGCCTATCCAGCTTAGGGTTCTGTGCTTTAGGGTAGGTATAGCAGCCTGCGTGCTGCCGGGCCTGGGTCTTCCCGATCATGTAGAGTCTAAAGGGAACCCCCATTAAGCACTGTCAGGAATGCAACTCCATGCCGCTATTTCACTTGCTGGCGAGGCGGGTCCATCGCGGACAGTCGTCTTTAGTTTTGTACCTTTTGTTTGGCATATAGAAATGCTACTGATTTCTGGTACATTGATTAAAAACTGAACAGATAATAACGCTAACATTACTGCCTCGCCTTACTGTGTGCCTAGAAATGTTCT